TATATATATATATATATATATATATTTTTTTTTTTTTTCCTTTTCTTGTGTGTGTGGAGCAATGTAAGAGAAATTTAAATAGAACGGATAACCAGACATGGGGCCGGAAGTGGATCAACCGGCCTAACCAGTAAACCGGTCAGTTCAACTGGCCTAACCAGGCAAGTCCCGAGCAGTCAAAAAAGTGTTAAAAAAAAATACAAAGAAATCTAATAAAATATGAAAAGTATATTTAAAGCATGGTTAAACAAAGCACATCCAAATGGAGTTGAAAATTATAAAAAAAAAAAATCGATTTTAAAGAATCGATTTGCGCCTAGGGGTATTTTTGAAAATTTTCAAAAAAGATGGGAAAATGTAAAAATATTTAAATAAGTATTAATGGCCAAAAAATTCCAATCTTTGCCAAAATGATGGAAAACATTAAAAAATGTATTACAAACAAAATCCCTTATTCTTTGGGATTTATATAATTTTTTTAAAAATACCTAGATGGTTCACCAAAACCGGTCGAAACCGGAACCGGCCAATGGCTGGTTCCGATCTAACCAGGCTAACAGGGTGTATTAATGGTATGGAGTATGAAGTATGGACTATAAACTGAGATGGTAATCATGGTAATCGTAAGGAGTGTATGGACTATGGACTATGTGTTTGTTATCATGTGTATGAGCTAATAAGAAGTATGATATATGGTGTTTGGGTTGGGCTTTGGACTATGGAGTATGGATTAATTGGATTATAATTTATGATTTGTGAATTGTGGCTTGTGAATTTGTGACTAAATGATTATTATATTTTCCTTGTCATTGTGTTAGTACTCGGCACTAGTAGTCTAATCTACTAGTAGGCTAGTACTGAATTTGAATATTGGATTACATTGTGTAATTAACTAATCGTCCAAATGTCAAAATACTTTAGTTTGTCTTTAGAGTTTGGATTGATTGAACATAAAAAATGGAATAAAAATGCCTCAATATGTATTTTTTACTCACAATTTGGACCTAAAAGAAGCTTTTCAGACACCTCCCACACTTGTTCTTCCACCTGGGCACTGGGCACCCCGGCCGCCTAGACACCACTAGGCATTTTTTGGAACATTGTACATGACATGTCATAATCCACTCAGAATCACATAGAAAACAAAATTCCACTGCAAATCATAATTTTGAATAAAGCATGATGCTCCTATAAGAATTTTTCCAGGGTACAATAGATGAACCAGAGCTAATGGCCACGAATGCCCCAACACTCAAGGTCTCCATTCTCATCTTTAAGATCATTTACTACCATAATCAGTTAGTCAGAGATTTAGTTAATGTATGAGGTTCCATCGAACTGTATAAAACCTCATCACTAAAACCCCAGTAAAAGAAAAACGAAGCAATGAATCACCAGAAGTGCATGATAATGCCAGGGTTCCTTGGAAATTCTTAGTTCTTACATATATGTAATAACACCAAGTCTAAGCCATTTCGACATGGACACACAATCTGAATTCTCTGGTACTTATCTTCAATCTCGTACTTATCTTCAAGATCGTGTATATAGTATCGTTAGAAGTTGATTCAAAATATGAACTTCAAATGCTAACAAGTACCTCATCATCATGGCCAATAACATGGAAAAAGGAAGCTAATCGGCTTGTAGATGGCACCTTCAGAGATTCTTAAACACATCACTTTTCATAATCAAGCAACCAAAAAAACCTATAATAATCAAGACAAAAGAGATGGAGAAAATCCAAAAAATGAGAAAACACAGGAAAACAAGAGAGAATAAGAGAGAGAGGGAAAAAAAACTAATCGTGACAATACAGTCCTACTGCGTGCATAAAGATATTAGAACCCATGAAACCTGAAAACCAAGAACATTGCAATAGAAAAAACAGACATAAAGCAAAAGAAGCATTTGATTTAAAAAACGTATGTTAAAAGTCCTTTTAAAGACCACATAAAGACATCAGCTCTTGTTCTCGAGCTTCAAACCCAAATCGCCATGACAAAAACTAAAGAAAAAAATATTAAAAATCATTTGACCAACTTTTGCTTGTGATAAAATAAGGTTTCTCTAAACCTAATATTTTAGAAGTTCAATGATGTAAGTTGCTTTTTTTATAGCTTAAAAGGTACATTTTTTCATCATCAAAGTGCACCAAAAACCTCATAAAAAGATATGAATAAGTAGTTAATTAGCAAAGCTTGGGAGAGCCAAAATTCTCTATATTGATACTTTCAGATATTGTTTAAAGACATCAATTTCTATCAGACTGCAACAAAACCCATTCACAATGGAAAAGACCCAAAAAAAAGCCACAAAGAGAAGCATTTCATCAACAAAATCATGAAATAGTTTTACAGCTAACATAGAATAACTCTATAAAGCTTCATTACTCAATATGTCTGTAAAATTTTAAAATGACAAAAACAAATTACTATACTCAACCAAGGGAGAGGAATGTCATACCAGAGATCCACGGTTCCAGAGAGATAGAGAGATTATTGTGGTTCTTCCCTGCAAAATGAGAGAGAGAGAAATGGGGGAAATCTTCCCTGCAAAATGAGAAAGAGAGAGGGACAGAGTAACACGGCCAAAAAATAGGGGAAACTGAGAGAGTGAGAGGAGAGAGGGAGAGAGAGGAGAGAGAGAGAGAGATTGGGAAGAAAGTTAAAAAAGGCAGAAAGTTAGGGTTATAACATGGAAAGTCGCAGAAGGGCAGGGCATTTTCCCATGAAACATATAGGATGTGGCTGAAAGCGCGGGCGCTGCTCACACTTCTGCGCAAACAAACATGCCCTCAAAATCAATCACCAACCTCCTAGACACTCTCTCTCTCTCTCTCTCTCTCTCTCTCTCTCTCTCTCAATCAGCTAAAGGATGACGTCTAGCCCCTCTGACAGAAACGCAAGGAAACAGTCACGTTGTCCATGTACGAAGAAACAAATTGACAAGTAATCCAATAAACTGAATTGCCAAACACAATACTATTGCATTACATCCTCAATGAACCAAAATTCGATTTCATTTAGTTTCTGCATTTTTCCACAAAGGAACCAAAAACAAATTCCCAATCATGATAGCGGACACATAGTTTGGAAGTGTGAGATAGGTAATCTTCACTCAAATCCCAACTCCTTGGGTACAAACAGCTTAAACATGCTGGTTCTTTTGGATCAATAATTAATGTTGAATAGACTGAATTGGAATTCCATTCTCAAAGCTCAAGAACTTTTATTTTCTCGAAACAATTTTGCACCTGCTGAAGAACCTGAGGGGAGAGATTGTCTCCAACAGTAAGCTTGTAAAGTTCAAACTTTGCTTCATCACACTTTAAGGCCTCCCTTTTGCAGGCCCTGATACAACCTGTTTCATACCAAATGAATCACTAGGACGGGTTTCCAATATCTCGCTTAACTACTTATCATACCTAAACTACTGAATCTTCTATGAAAGCTTATACAGAGGAAGAGAAATTAAACCATTAAGAATCTGACTCCAGTTTTTTGAAATCTTAAATGAAAAATACAGGATATGGTGCCAAAAAAAAAAAATAGATACTTCAAAGTGATCAATGAATCCTTTCTTCCCACAAAAGAAGCCTCAAAGACCAACATAAGACTGTAGAATCCATAACAAATTGTGAGTATATGTATATTTTGAAAAAATGAAATATAGATCTATTTCAAGAAAAAGAGTAGCATTTGTATATTTTGGAAAGTAACATCACAAAAAGCTAAAAGTAAAGGAATTGCATTTTAAGAAATGAAAACATAGAGAACCAATTTTTTTTCAGAAAAATCCAACTATTTTTAAGGATAAAATGGAGTGGATAAGAAAGAAACGAAAGAACCTAGACCCACTTTCCTCTAGCCTAAAGTGTAACTGTGCATCTGGTTGAAAGTTATGAGCAGGAGCAAGTGTCATTCTATTTGTAATATAAATATCCAAAGAAATTGTGGCATCAAGAGCAGACCATCCAATTGAAAATCAAAGAGTGGAGCCAAGGACCATATAATAGATTATATAAATATTTAGACACATCATAATAGGAGAATATATATCTAGCCTCTAGAATTCACTCAATAAAAGGGACATACCACTCAAGTTTAGCAAGTTGAAAATTACTGGACAATTTCCAATATTCCTGACCATGGTGATGGCACACCAAATCTTCTGGTAATCCTGCCGTGCGACTCGGATGATGCACACCTTGGTAATAGGATTTACATATTTAACTACCCAACAAAATACAAACAGAACACTGTTATTGCGCTTCCAATGTATTGTACCATTAGTTGCATGTATGAAACTTTGTTATCAATAAAGAAATAAAGAAATCAATAACAACCCAAGAGATTATGGGGCCAAATGTTTTATCCTTCAAAACCAAAAAGTAAAACATGGTCCTAGTGGTATCTAAATGGTTTGAACTAGGATTTAGCATAAAAAAGAGGCATTTTCTATAAAACAGAAACTTCTTATTTAATAAAAATAGCAACTGAGCATTTCTTACCCTGGAAAGAACCAATTGCTGCAGCTAAGCCGCACTCACCAAAATTTAAGTGAATGCTGTCCTTGATAGCTTTCGACACATTAAACTGAGTAAGAATAATAGTTTCATCACCAGCTAGTTCTCGGTTTGGATCAAGAAAAACTTCCATCACGAGATACCTATTTTTGAAGAGCACCATTCCTACTTTGGTCGTCTCAGAATTTCTTGGTCGCAATCAGATTGCTAGGAATCAACACTCAACAAGCAAATCAGATATATATATTGACAATTTGATGAACTCGACATAGCAATCACAAAATAAATATCTTATCACAAATCAGAGGAATTCCCATAATAGAAAAGATCAATCCATGCATGTAAAACCATGTGAATCATATCAAGTTCAAGCAATCATGCACCAAGTTCATGTGAAGTCAATTTCTTCCCAGCAATTCAATTATAAGTTACAATAATAAATAGAAGTGGCAAGAAGGATGGCTAAAATGGAATGGATGAAAGAACTACTTTATTGCTAGTTAGTAGTACATATAGGAAAGAAGAAATAACCAGTTTTCCACCGGCTTCCATATAAACATCAATAAAGACAATGAATCCAAAACTAACTGCAAAAGACTTACATAAAATGGGTCTTTCTTATCAGAAACATTACTTATTAGGAAAGATAAATGTAAAATGAGTTACATAATGTATATCAGGGGGACAACACACCATGGTTCTTAAATCCTTCAGGATATCAACTACTCCAAGAATTATCAGAGAAACACATGTAACATCCTACATTCCTAGGAAAATGTAAAAGTAAGTCTTTGATAATGAAATAATAAATAAATAAGAGAAAAGGGATTGTGATCTGCCCAGCCTAATGAAGAGCATAGGTCATCGAAGATAGAGTCTTCACGTATCATATCTGTTATGTGTATGGGCATTGTGTGATTTCTAATTTTTTATAAATCCGATTGGTCTAAAGTTTTAAGGACATGTATGTGTGCACCTATCGTTGAATGCTGACTATCAAATGGTTTAATCTAGCTATCAGCCTAAAACTGTTCCTAGAATCTCCATCCCATAAATAAATAACTAAATAAATAAAAATATACAAACACTAGCATTTTTCATGAAGCCACGTATATCTGCATAGGCATTAAACATCAACTCCAACACATAGATGCGCAGCTAATAAACCCCAGTAGGAGGAAAAAAAAACTTGCAGGTAATTCAAAACGAAGCAATTTCTCCAAAAGAGAAACTGATTAGAGAGAGAGAACTCATTGAATATGGCAGAGAAGATAGTCACTGTGTAAAACCAAAAAAGGAAACGAAAGAGAAAACAATTCAAATAGAAAAGTGTTACACAAAGCCCATTGAGTCGAATAGCGCAAAAAGAGACAAAGCATAAGAGAGGAAGAGAGTTTTCTTTTTCCCATTTTAACGAAAAACATGATCAAGGAGAAGGAAACCCTAGCCCAATTATCAAAGCAACAAAATAAACGACAGTTTAAAAAGCTACACAGAAGAAACCAGAGGAAGATGAGAAGAGAAAGAGAGAGACTAACAGTTAAATTTGAAGAAAGTGGAGAGAAAGTTTTGTTAATTTATCGTGGCACAAAAAAGGCGAGGAAAAATTAAGAGTAGCAGAAGCTAGTTTGGGCGTAGAGGAGGGCAGCGGAGAGGGAAACTGAGAAAGGCACCCGGTGCTTTTAAGCTAACGATACAGTCCTAAAAGAGATTAGCTTTTTTATGATGGAAAATTGTTTCATGTGGGCTGGATCGTATGAGTACATGTGCAGTCCAAAAAATGTAAATCTGTGATAACTGGAAGCAAGTTCATGAACTGTAAATTAGAAATTCTTGAAGAACTGTGAACTTAAGAAGTTCTTGGTTTCTGTGTTTGATAACCTCCTCAGAAGTTAAGAAGTTCCTGGTTTCTGTATTTGATAACCTCTTGGGAAATTAGGAAGTTCCTGGTTTCTGTGTTTAATAACCTCCTGAAAAGTTAAAGAAGAACTGGGTATCTGTATTGGAATAGAGAAAAGACTGGTTTTCATCCCATTGGCAAGAGTTACATTTGTCATATGTCCACCACTAACACCACATGATAAAAATGCAATTTGGTTTCCAAACCGGCCTATAGTCCACACCAAAAGAAATGGTATAGAAGCCAAGGTCCCATCAAATGGTATAGAAGCCAAGTTTGTGAATATATGAATTCCTCTACCCAGTTCTTGTGCCACTTCTGTAAGTTTGGCCTCAATTTGTACACAAAATAGTGATAATATAATTATTAGATATGCAACATGGTAAGTGCATGTGCAAAAGTGAAAGTAGTGCAATTGACCAGTTCATCATGCGTGCAATTGCACAAAAATCAGCATACACGTGAACAATATAAAAACCAACACCCCAATACAGAATTCAACCACAAGTACCATTCTTCCAACATGAAGAAGGTACACACCATCTCAAGAAAATGGAGAAAGAATCAAAGATCATACTGTTACATATACATGGGCTCCAAATTTCAAATCGAAGATCATACTGTTACACATACATGGGCTCCAAATCGAAGATCATACTGTTACATATACATAATGACTTATATTGTAAGCTGCAGATAACAATAAATAGGTTTAACATGAAAAAAAAAAATAACAAATGCAAGAATGTAATGGAACAATAATAATATAATTTTACTATCAAACCCTATGAAGTATGAAATGTAGGAAAAGAACCTCAGAAAATCTAAAATCCAAAAAGATACCACAAATTAGATGGTCTAAGTGACCTATATGCATCAAAACAAAAAGTTAGGTGATAAAGAAAAAGGCTTCAGGGCATCAATTTTTGGCCACCGAGATGCATGCGATGACTACAGCCTTTCTTATGTGAAAATGAGCTTTTCACAGACTAGATTCCACTGAAAAAAATTCAATTCCAATGTCATGGAACTAGATAGATATGAATGTGATTAGTCTAAATAAGCTTTAAAATGGATATTCACTTGTTTTGCTTTGTTTTAGTTATAGGCAGGCCAAAACCGTCATATAGTAGCCATGTTTTGGAACAAATTCCCCTGAATCAATCGGGCCATATCATTGTTGAAGAAATTACATTTCTGACTTTCTTGAGTACAAACCATCTGTTTAAATGATAATTGGAGTTAAATTTCAGAAAATAAACCCTGAAATGATTTAGTATAAAGATACACAGAAGGAATCCAAATATAAAAAACCCTTTTCTTTATTAATTCAGCAGTTTCATCAAAATTAAGAATAAAAATTGAAAGGAGCTAGGTTCTCCTTCCATGAACGTATTTTCTCACCCATTTTTTAGCCCAATTTGAAGCGAACCAAGGAATTGGTAAAAAAAAGAGTGTTAACAAAACAAACAAAAAATCCAAGTATTGGAAGAAAATGCGGCCTGGCAAGGAAAATTACACAGTGAAACAATCAAATTAGTTCAAAAACATGCAATGAACTATAACCAAAAATTTCAAAGCAACATGAGAAGCAAGGTGATTAACTTACATAAAACTAACAAATTAACAAAGCAGGAAAGCAACCACTTTGCCACCAAAGGGCATAAAACCTCAAGAGCCCTCAAATGCCAAAGACAAAATTCCAGGTTAGCACTCTATACTGCAGAACGTGCACGGAAAGTGCAGAAATCCATCAAAAAAACACAATTGAGAAACCAGAATTTCTAGGGAAAAAAGTAAGGCAGAGGGATAAAACAAAAAACAAAAACAGAGCAAGCAAAAAAAGAGAAAGAGAGAGAGAGAGTAATTTTAGAGAGAAACATAAAAAAACCCTAGTCACTGGAGCAAGCTTCTTCTAGCACAAGCGGTGTGGGCAAATGGAAACCATGAGAGAGAAAGAGTAATTTAGAGAGAGAAAGGAGCGTGGGTATTTAATGGGGTTTACTTTGTATGTCTGGATTTCTCAGCGGCGAAGATTGGAAGCTGTCTGCATTTCTCAGCGGCGAAGATGGGAAGCTGCGAAGAGAGGGTTGCTCAGCGGGGTGGGAGCTTACCGGCGAAGAAGAGAAAAGAGGCTAGGGTTACCGAAGGAGGGGATGTTACGAACTCCCAATTTTGAACTTTTTTTACCAAAGGTTGCAAGAAGATGGCATTAAACTAGAGTTTTTATTTAGGGTTCCCATGTTTTTATCGATCACGAAAGTTGAGAAGTTATTAACTTCCAAACCAAAACTCACTTCCTATTGTCAAACACGGCGTAAAAGCAAAGGAAAGTAATGGTCTAAATGTTTTCTTATTAGAATTATTATTTTTTATTTAAAAAATAGATTCATATTCGAATCGGACATCTCAAAAACTCATCCAGATCAATAAATCGGCGATTTTGATCGAAAATCGATCGATCGGATTAAATTTAAAAAAAAAATAGAAAAATTATTAAAATTCCTATAAATGTCGTTTTTTAGAAATCCAATAAGAAATTGGGTCCTACATTATTAACTTTCATTTTTTTTATCAATATGCGAATATTAAGATGCTCTTTTTCGGTATGAACTTATGTTAACCATTAAATTTATTTCACACAAAAAAAACAATAGAATTATTATGGATGAAGTATATAATCATACATAGACTACAATAAAGAATAGATTAAATCGATAAAAACATAACCCCAAATTATTATAACCTAAGTAACTATGTAACCTAAAATTATTACAACCCAACTAACTATAATATTATATACTTAAATTGAAATTGTTGGTTTATATTTTGTAATTTTTTTACCATACAAATTATAAAAAATCCAAAATATCTTATAATATCATCTAATTTAAAATATATTATGGACAACTGTTAGAACAAATAGTATATTACATAATTTATAATGCAAATAAATTAATAAATAAAATAAAAGATTTTGTTATCAATGTAGAAATTATTAGAATCCGTACCAATTTTCGAAATAGCACTTTAATATTTCAAAAATCTAATTTTTTAGATTTCTAGAATAAAGTTAGTTGAAGATATTATTAGTAGAGAGAAATTTCAAATGGCCATGAACCTTATCTTTAAATTAATATTTCTAAATTTATATTAAATACCACCATGTTATAAAAATAAAAAATATAATTAGACTATTTATTCTTAGGTAAAAAAAAAAATATAACGATAAGCATTCATAGATGAAAGAGAGAAAAAGAGCTAACATGCTCCAAGCTTATATTGTATTATCTTTACATATCTAATTTAAGCTTATAATAATCGTAACTTAAATGCATGCTTGAAAAGCATGATACTTGTTGTATTACTTTTTATTTATTTTTTGACAAAAAATATTTGTTGTATTACCTTCTCTTTTTTTTTGACAAGAAAAATATGATACTTGTTGTATTACCTTTTACTTTTAATTTTGACTAGAAATACTTGTTGTATTATTTTTTATTATTTTGATGAG